TATATATATATATATATATATATATATATATATATATATATATATATATATATATATCCAATTTTCTGGATCCATTTTTGTTGTTTTTATGTAAATTGTTTCAGGAATGAACACTCTGCATTGGATAAATAAGAAGCTTCATCCCTGGTAGAGGTTAACTCTGCTTCTCCTAGAAGTTGTTAGTTACCTGTAGTTCTTTGTCTAGATGGGGCCCCCATGGAAAAATTCCCCTTGCACATTAAATTTCCATTGATACTGTCATTGTTCAGGTCTTATTCATGCAATGATTTCTAGGAGAGACTGTTTCATGAAAGACTTCTTGGCATTCTGACTATTATGAATTTTTGACCCCCTCTTCTGTGATGTTCCCTGAGCCATAGATGCAGGAGCTTTGTGTGTGTGTGTGTGTGTGTGTGTGTGTGTGTGTGTGTGTGTGTGTGTTAAAGGAAGTCAAGCCACTTGGGTTGACACTGTTCCTCACAAGAACAATAGACTAACAAAAATACCAGTACAAATTAGAAGAAACCCTCCTTTCAAAGGGTTGGTCTGGGTAGTTCAAGTGACTCCCAAAATAATAGAGATTATCACTGTAGCCCTTGATTGCCTCTCATGGATTGAGGATGAGCCTTTATTGTTGAAGACAATACACACTTAGGACAGAATACTCAGATGATTCAAGCTAGATCTGACAAGAAAGCAGTTAAACTCCTTAGCTACAACAGCCATGAAACACAATGACTAGCATGGCAAGATATTTAAAAATGCAGTAAGTGGCATTCACATGCCGGTGGCATATTTTTGACCTCCACATGTGTACTGCAGAATACACTGTGGGTCAGAGGACAACTTGTGGGAGGCAGTTTTGTTGTTTGACCACATGGGTTGTAGAGATTGAACTCAGGTGATCAGGCTTGGAATGAAATGTCTTCACCCACTGAACAGTCTTTCTGATTCAACACCATCTTTGAAATGATTGGCAGGCATCCATAAGCGAAAAACCTGTATTATTCACCAGTTTTCATCTCAAGTTAGATTTAAAAAATTAAAAAATAATGCCTATAAGTATAAAACTTCTGGAAGAAAAAAAATAGGGGATTCACTATTAGAATGGACAGTAATTTGTCTGAATATGAATCAGAAGCAAAAATTAAAGACTGGGATTATAACAAGTTAAAGAGAAAAAGATCTGTCCAACAGGGTTACGCACAACTAATGGAGTGAAGATAAAACCTATACAAAGAGAGATATTATGTGCAAAATATACAGCTGACAAGATGTTGACATCTAGAATACACACACACACACACACACACACACACACACACACACACACACACACTCACACACACACATCCAAAAATTCACTAGTAAAACAAAGCTATAAGAAACTTCACAGGCCAGTTGTCTGGAGGTTGTGGCTGCAGAGGATCTCCCTGAAAAGCTGTGAGGATGTTGTCCATGTGCGTCACTGCAGCTGTGGCCGGTGTCCTACCTCGAAGGGCAGGGCTGGTCTCCAAAAATGCTCTGGGGACATCCTTCATTGGTTCAAGAAATCTCCATGCCTCTAATACTCAACTTCAGAATACTGCCACTGCTGAGATGTCTTCCATTCGTGAAGAGCAGATTCTTGGAGCTGACACATCTGTTGACCTCAAAGAGACTGGGCGTGTCTTAAGTATTGGTGATGGTATTGCCCGAGTACATGGGCTGAGGAATATTCAAACAGAGGAAATGGTAGAATTTTCTTCAGGCTTAAAGGGTATGTCCCTGAACTTGGAACCTGACAATATTGGAGTTGTCATGTTTGGAAATGATAAGCTAATTAAAGAAGGTGATATTGTGAAGAGAACGGGAGCCATTGCAGATGTTCCAGTTGGTGAGGAACTGTTGGGCCATGTCGTTGATGCCTTTGGTAATGCCATTGATGGAAAGGGTCCAGTTTGTTCCAAGACCTGTAGACAAGTAGACCTCAAAGCCCCTGAAATCATTCTCCAAATCTCAGTGCTGTAACCAATGCAGACTGGCACTGAGGCTGTGGTCAGCATGAGGTTATTATTGGTGATAGACAGACTGGGAAAACATCAATTGCTGTCAACACAATCATCAACCAGAAACTTCTCATTGATGGAAAGAAGAAGCTGTACTGTATCTATGTTGCTATTGATCAGAAATGGCCCACTGTTGTCCAGTTGGTGAAGAGACTGACAGATGCAGATGCCATGAAGAACACCACTGTGGTGCCAGCTTCTGCTTCTGATGCTGCTCCACTCAGTATTTGGCTCCTTATACTGGTTGCACCATGGGAGAATATTTTAGAGATAATGGCATGCATGCTTTGATCATCTATGATGATTTATCCAAACAGGCTGTGGCTTACCGCCAGATGTCTCTCTTGTTGTGCCAACCCTCTGGTCGTGAAGCCTGTCCTGAAGATGTGTTTTACCTGCACACTTGGCTGCTGATGAGAGCAGCCAAGCTGAATGATTCTTTTTGTGGTGGCTCTTTGACTGCCTTACCAGTCACAGAAACCCAGGCTGGTGATGTGTCCACTTACATTCCAACAAATGTTATTTTATCACTGATGGACAGATCTTCTTGGAAACAGAATTGTTCTATAAAGGCATTTACCCTTCCATTAATGTGGGTTTGTCTGTATCTCAGTCATGTCAGATCTGCTGCCAGACCAGGGCCATGAGATAGGTGGCGGGTACCATGAAGCTGGAGTTGGCTCAGTATCAGGAGGTTGCTGCAACTCATGGTGTGTGTCTGACTGAGTTGTTAAAGTAAGGGCAGTACCCTCCCATGGCTATTAAAGGACATGTGGCTGTTATCTGTGCAGGTGTGAGGGGTTATCTTGATAAACTGGATCCCAATAAGATCACAAAGTTTAAGAATGTTTTGTTTCATGTTATCAGCCAGCATCAGTCCCTCTTGGACAATATCAGAACTGACAGGAAAAATCTCAAAGCAATCAGATGCAAAGCTGAAAGAGATTGTAACAAACTTCTTGGCTGGTTTTGAACCATAAAGCCCCATGAATCCATGTCAGACACTGCTTTGGTTTTGTCATTTATTCTGGTAAAATCAGCTCCATTTGTAAAGGATTGCCCTCGTCCTCCTGATGTACAGAAATCACATAAATAAAAGTTCCATATTATGTGATTTAAAAACTTCACAAAACAAATAGACCAATTAAAATGGACAATAAATGTAAATAGGCATTTCTCAAGAGACGTCATGCAAATTACCACCAAATTTCTGTAAAAATTATAGAACATTACTGATTATTATGGAAATTCAAATAAAAACCATAGTGAGATATTGCCTTATGGCAGTTCCATTGGATAAATTTTTGAAGGGTAAACATGAAAAGTTCTGGTAAAGGTATGAAGAAAGGAAGATTTTTGCAAAATGTTAGGAGGATTGATAAAGTAGTATACAGTGTCTATGAAAAAGATAATAGAACCACCATTATAAAGTAAAAGTAAGGGTACCATTTGGTCAATCAATATCATTGCTGAGTTTATAAAGAAAATGAAATAAGAATGTTGAAAAAAATATGTGCAGTCTGTGTTTACTGCCTCACTATTAATAATAGCTAGAGAACAAGAAACAGCCTAAATTACCATCATTGGATGAATGAATGGATGATGAAAATGTGCTACTACATGTACCCAATAGACTAATACGATACATAAATAAATGAAAGCCTGTCATTTGACACAACATGAATGAATCTGGCGATCACAACAGTAGAACGACTGTGAGAAAGAGGACCAAAGGGTGGGATAGGGTCATCTATATATGACATGAAAGGTGTACCATCTAATCCAAACAATGTGATCATCTAAACATGGACTTATACAATGATAATACTTTGTCATTATGCATGGAAGAAATATAAAAAATCCTCACTCCTAAATGAAGAGCTGCAAGCTGAATCGGGGAGAACCAATCTTCTTTAGGGCCAAATTCATTGATAATTTATCTGATCCCAGGTGGTGGTCAGACCTAAACACATCCAAATGCAAGCAACACTTACTTGACTCAGTTTGTAAATATAGATGGAACAATAATAAATTAATAGGAAGTTATGTGTTTGAAAAGAGAATGTGGGCATCATGTGAGGAGTTGTGTGGGGAGAGGGTGGAAATAATATAAACACAGTACTTATGTATGAAATTTTAAAAAAATAAAATAAAATTTAAATGCAAAAAGGTACTGGATGAAGCCTCTCTGATGAGAATTGGCTAGGCATCAATCTATGAGTATGGCAGAATATCCTTAGGTATCATTACATTGGAATGTTTTTCTCCAGTCGTGTTTGCTTCTATTCTAGGTCTTTGGGTCATCGAGCTTCTGGGTCTTGGCACTCCAGGTAGTGTCAGGATTGGGCTCATTCTCATGGCATGGTATATTAGTCAGGGTCCTCTAGAGTCACAGAGCTTACAGAATGAAGCTCTGTCTGCCTGTCTCTATCTATCTATCTATCTATCTATCTATCTATCTATCTATCTATCTATCTATCTATCTATCTATAAGTTGACAACCAAGAATAGCCATTACACATGGATTTCTGGCTGGACCAGTCACTAGTTGGACACTCCTACAATCTTTGTGTCACCCTTACCCCAACACATCCCATAGGCAAGACAGACTGTAGGGAGAAGGTTACATGTAGCAGGTTTTCTTTTCTTTTGGGGGCCATCAACCAGATCCCAAATCATGACACAGAGATGTATTATTATTAGTTTTGAGTGCTCGGCCTTATTTTAGCTCTTATATTAATCTGTTTCTCTTAACCTACATTTTGTCTCAGGGCTTTTTACGTTTCTTTCTATATATCTTACTTCCTTTCTGTCTCCTTGTCTGGTTGGTTGACATGATGATGCCTGGTTTCTGGCCCCAGGCATGCCCCTGTCTTTTTCCTTATTCTCTTCTGTCTTCTCTTAGTCTCTCTGCTCACAAGCCTTGCCTATACCTCTTCTCCCTAGATATTGGCCATTCAACTCTTTATTAGACAAATCAGATGCCTTAGACAGGCAAGGTGAAACAAATGCAATATAAACAAATGTAACACATCTTACATTCTTAACAAATATAGCAGAAACAAATGTAACACATGTTTAAACAGTTAAAGTAACATTACACAGCATAAACAAATGTAACACATCTTTCCCTGTAGCCGTAAGTTTCTCTGGGTCCCACCCCTCCCCCTACGATCCAGACAAATCTCTCTCTCCTGAGGTCCTGCAGCTGCTCAGACCCAAGTAAACACACAGAGGCTTAATATTATTTACAAAACTCTATGACCTATGGCAGCATCCTTCTATTGGATGTGGAGTTGGTAAAAAAAAAAAAAACTCATTTCTCATTCTACAGCCTGCTGCTTTGTCTGAATGACAGTGTCCTTTGTCATATAGAGTTTCAGTTTCATGAATTCCATTTGTTAATTGTTTATTTTAGTGCCTGTGCTATTGGTGTTGTTTACAAAGTCCTTTCCTGTTACAATGATTCAAGACTATTCCCCACTTTCTCTTCTATCAGATTCATGCATCTGGCCTTATGCTGAGGTTTTAGATCCATTTAGAGTTGAGTTTTCTGCAGGGGGATAAGTGTTGATCTATTGCATTTTTTTCAACATCCAGCCATCTGATTTGACCGGCATCATTTTTAAAGATACTGTCTTTTTTCCAGTGTGTAGTTCTGGCTTCCTTATAAAAAATCAGGTGTCCATAGGTATGTGAATTCATGTCTGGGTCTTCAATTCAATTCCATTGTTCAACATATCTATTTTTGTTCCAATATTGTGAGGTTGGGGATGATGTTACCTCCAGTAGTTCTTTTATTATTTAGGAGTGTTTTCATTATTCTGTTTTTGTTTTTCATGTGCAGCTGAAAATTGTCCTTTCAAGTTCTATAAAGAACTGTGTTCCAATTATGATGGTGATTGCATTGAATGTATAAATTGCTTTGTTAAGATGGTCATTTTCACTATATTAATCCATAAGCATGGGAGATATTTCCATCTTCAATATATTCAATTCATTTCTTCAATGTCTTAAAGTGTTTATCATGAAAGTCTTTACTGTTCATATTTTGAGGCTATTATGAAAGATGAGGGCTAATGATTTTCGTGTTAGTTTTGCATCCTGCTACTCTGGTAAAAGTGTTTACCAGCTGTAGAAGTTTGCTGGTACAATTTTTCAGGTCACTTATGCATACTATTATAGCAGTGGTTCTCAACTTGTGTGTCTCCACTCTTTGAAGGTCACATATCAGATATCCTGCATATCAGATATTTTTATTATGATTCATAACAGTAGCAAAATTAGAGTTATGAGGTAGCAATGAAATAATTTTATGGTTTGGGTCACTGCAACATGAGGGATTTTATTAATGGTCACATCAATAGGACGGTTGAGAACCACTGTATTACAGGATCTGCAAATTAAGATACTTTGATTTCCACCCTTTCTATTTGTATCCTCTTGATCTCCTTCAGTTTTCTTATTGCTCAAGTTAGACTTCAAGTACTATATTAAATAGGTATAAAGATAGTGAAGAACCTTGTTCCTGATTTTAGTAGAAATATTTTGAGTTTCTCTCTAAGTTGGTATGGGATGTGAGATTGCTGTAAATTGTCTTTATTATGTTGTGGTATGTTAGTTGCATCCATAATCTCTATGGATCTTTTATGGTAAAGGGGTGTTGGATTTTGTCAAATCCCTTTTGTGAATTTAATGAAATGACCATGTGGTTTTTGTCTTTCAATTTGTTTATACAGCAGATTACATTTATTGATTTATATATGGTAGACCATCCCTGCATCTCTTTGATGAAGCCTATTTGCTCATGGTGCATGATCTTTTTAATGTGTTCTTTTTATTCAGTTTACAAGTATTTTATAGAGACTTTTTGCATCTATGTTCTTAAGGAAAATTGTCCACAATTTTCTTTCTTTGTTAGTTTTTATGTGGTTTGGGTATCAGTGTATCTGTGGCCTCATAAAAAATAAGTGGACAACTTTCTTTATGCTTCTATTTGTAGAAAAATTTGAGGAGTATTGGTATTAATTCTTCTTTGAATATGTGATAGATTTCTGCACTAAACCTGTCTTGCCTTGGACTTTTGTTGGGCAAGAGACTTTTAATTATTGCTACTACTTTACTAGGGTTTATACATGTATTTACATTTCTTATCTAATCAATACTTAACTTTGGAAGATGGAGGTTTTATATATATATATAAAGAAAATTTTCTGTTTCTTTTAGAATTTCTAATTTTGTGGAGTACAGGTTTATAAAGTATGTCCTTATGATTATCTTTATTTCCTTTGTGTTTTTGCTATACCCACCTTCCATCTCTAATCGTATTAATTTGTATTTTTTCTCTCTGTGCTTTAGAAAATTTGGCTAAGGGTTTGTCAATCTTATTGATTTCCTTAAAGAACCAACTCTTTGTTTCATTGACTTTTTTTTTTTTTTTTTTGGTTTTTCAAGACAGCGTTTCTCTGTGTAGCTTTGCACCTTTCCTGGATCTCACTCTGTAGACCAGGCTGGCCTCAAACTCACAGAGACCCGCCTGCCTCTACCTCCTGAGTGCTGAGATTAAAGGCGTGTGCCACTACTGCCTGGCCTTTTGCTGTTGTTTCTATTTTATTGGCTTCAGCCCCAAGTTAACTTTGTCCTTTACTTTAATAGGTTGTTGTTTTTACTTTTCCTTCTAGAGCTTTTTTGGTGTGTTGTAAAGTTACTATTATGAAATCTCACCATTTTTAATATAGGCATTAGTGCTATGAACTTACCTCTTAAAACTGCCTTCATTGTTTTCCATAAATTTGAGTATTTTGTGCTTTAATTTATAAAAAAAGTTTAAAGTTTCTTTTCTAATTTCTATCTTGACACATTTTTCATTTGGTAGAGAGCTGTTCAGTTTCTATATGTATGTAAGTTTTCTGCGGTTTCTGTTGTTAACCAGCTTTAATCTGTTGAAACTTGCTTTATGCTGAATATTTGGTTAATTTTGGAGAAAGTTCTATGACTTGCTGTGAAGAAGATACATTGTTTTGTGTTTGGGTGAGATGTTCTGTAAATACCTGTTAGATCCTTT